TTGGCAGTGCATGGTTTATTCAACACCATTCACCAGCACCATAGATCAAAGGGATCATTCTGCTCTGCAATACAAGTTGCCTTAAAAGGATTTCCCTTTAACTTCCTTTAACACCCATCCTCCTTAAACGCTGCTGGTTCTCACTCCTAAAGACACTCTTAAATCTGTGCTTTCCTCTTTCCTACTGTTTCTGCCACTGGCCAAGAAGGTTATTACCTCTTGCCTGAACAATTGCAATAGCCCTTAACTTGACTCTAAATCTTTGTTCTTTCCCCAAAACCTCCTGCAAACCCCACTCATTGTCAATACTGCTGCCTGAACAGTTGTTCCCAAAACACAGGCCTCACCATGTCACACCCAAGTTTGGAAGTCTGAGTGTCTTCTTTCTGAATTCTGTCATCTCAGCAATGCTTCTCAATACTGACTGTTTGGGTTAGACTGACCTGCCCCAAACTCAAGGCCACCAGTCATTCCCATGCAGAGCCACCCTCCATTGGGTTTCCAAGAATGTGAAGCAAAAGGAGAGGAGAGAGTGCCCATCTTTCTTCTGAGGAGCAGCTGATGGATTTGAACCACTGACCTTTCAGTTAGCACCTCAAGATTTAATCTGCTATGCCGTGAGGGCTGCTGGAATCACCTGGGGAATTGAAAAGCTATGGTCACAAAGGATTCTATCTAAGATCAATTCAATGTCTCTAGAGGTGGTGCTGGGCAACCATATATAGGTAGAAATGTCACAGATATAATATGGATTCAGTTCTAGGCCAATGCAAATACTGCAATAAAGTGAATCACACTGGTTTTTTTTTTCTTTCTGCTGTATATAAAACGTGCAATAGCATATGACACTCATGTTTATCACTGCATTATTCACAGTAGCAGAGATGCTAGCAACCCAAGTGCTCAACAAATGAATGATAGAAAAACTATGGAATATTCACACAATGGAATATCACACAGCACTGAAAAGCAATGAACTCTTGAAACATCACACAACATGGGTATGCCTGGAAGACATTATGCTGAGTGAAATATCCCAGTCACAAAAGGGCAAATACCGTATAACACTGTTGCTACAAAATAGCAAAATAGGACTGACATGTGGGATTGATGGTAAAAATGGGGGAAAACTGGATAGATAATGAACACTGCATTGGAACAGATGAGGGGAGAAATGTGTGAAAGGAATATATGATTAGGCATTGTATGTATGACAACAACCTGGAACAAGGAGGGCATTGCAGAGGAGATTGGGGGATGGGGAAGGGGAGGGAGGAAAAAGTGCAAAAATGAATGAACAAATAATTTTTTAAAAAGCATATAAAATTTTTTGAAATATGGCAGGACTTGCAAAAATGACTATAGAGACACCAAGTAAGCACAAGTTGTTGGAAAGACGGCACAGATAGACTTGCTCATTGCCAGCTTAGCCACATATCATAATTTAATGTAAAAAAAAAAAGCCGTTATCTGAGAAGTAAGATACATGGGAGGGGAATGATACAAGATATACCTGTGTCTGATGGATGGCGAGGCCAGGAAGCCACAATGAATGTGTCCCTGCTTGTTGCCTCAGCTTCACTCCCACCAAGCACTCCTTGTCTCACTCGGCACCGCCCTCTCCCCCGCCCGCCCCCCCAAAATGCTATGTTCCACACTTTCTCATCTGGATAGAGAAGTTGCCTTGACCTCAGGTGCCTCGGCTCTCTCCTCAAGCCATTCATCCTTCCAGACCAACCCCTTCATCAGTAAGGCTTCCTCCAGCCCTACCAGGTTCTCAGCACTCAGCCCTCCCCTGTGTCTCCCCACATTCTGCCGTGATTGGTTCTCACGCCCACGCGGCCTCTCCCACCTCATTGCCAGCTTCCCAAGGGCAGGCACTCCGTTCTGTTAAATGCACTGTCACGTTACCCAACAAGCAAGATTAAGCATGAGTTTACTCGTGCTTACTTACTAATCTGCAGTGAACCATTTCACACTTTGTCATCACAAGAAGGAAACTTCAAGATATGTTTGGCATCTTTCGCTCCCCTAAACTACAGAATCAAAGGCACTTTTCAAATTTACAGGCCCTTACAAGGACGTAGTACCAGGCTTGTTTGTTTGTGCTTACTTAACTACTCTGTAGTGAACAGTTCCTTATGTTTCTCTTACATCAAAGATTCGGTGAAACCCACGCGAGAGCCTTACTAAGACCTTACTTGCTTAGTAAGCAAAGGTTAGCCCTCACTTACCTTGTTTATGGGAGTTCCAGTAGCTTAGTAGTAAGGAACTGTGCTGCAATCCCAAAGGCACAGGGTTCAAATCCACAAGGTGCTCCACAGGAGAAGGCTGGGCAAGCTCCTCTTGTGTGATTAACTGCCTCTGAAAACCTGCTGGAGAGTCAGCTGTGAGTTGGTTCCAACTCGATGATACACTAGTGGCCTAGAGGGTAAGGAGTTATACAACCAGCCCAAAGTGAAGCGATTTAAATTCACCAGCTGTTTTCTATAGAAAGATGCTCAGACTCCTCCCTTGCAATTTACTTCCTGGAGGGTCAGCTAAATGTGGGCTCTGACTCCACAGTAACAAGTTTACCTCCTGTGATCCTCTCTTGTCGTTCATTGCTCAGTTGCCGGTGTCTTGCACACAATAAACAGTGCCTCAGGAATTTGATCAAATTCTTGTGCTCTTTCTCTCTTCTCTTCCTCCCCCAGTGCCTGCCATGTGCCTGTCCGTGACAGATTGTGCTTACTTTTCTTTCTCCTAAGGATAAGAACCACCCCTGTTAAATTGCAAAGGCCTGATGGCCTGGTTCCAAGAAGATTGTCCAGCCCTCTCTAAAAAACAGGTCTACATATCCACCTACCAGGGCAGGAGCTGCCAGCTCTGGTCACATTAAAGTGAGATCAGGTGTAGGTCTGGGGCTGGAATAGTTTCCTCAGACAAACACTCTATGAATGTGCTTCCCCAATGCCCTAGTCCACAGGGCAAAGCCCAAAGGTTGCACCTGCCAGTAGTTTTAATCCACCAGTGGTTTCTGGGGAGAAAGATGGCCCATCTCTTTCTGTTCAATTTGTAGCCTCAGAAACCTGCTGGAGGGTCACTTCTGGGTGGGTTCCAGTTCCACAACAACGAATGAATGTTATACACTCATGTTATACACTCTGCTGGAGAACTCTTCAAGGGTTGGCAAGGGCTGTGTCCACCTCCCTCCTTCAGGGTAGCTCTAGTCCTACAGGCAAAAGAATGTAAGGAATAACTCATTTCCCACAAGTCCTTTGCTTAACCAGCGGTGGAAAATACGGGAGGAAGGGAGGTCAGAGAACAGGAGAATGTGTGTTGTTAGCTGATGTTGAGTTGGTAATCTCATGCACAAAAGAAACACAGACTGCCCAGTCCTGTACCAGCTCCATGATCTACTGCAGATCAAACATGAGATCCACAGTCTTCATTGGCTGATTTTCTTTAAAAGATGACCAGGACTCTCTTCATGGTCTGTCTTAACTGGATGCTCTGCTGAAATCTAATCAACCTCACAGCAGATGGCTGTTTTCCGTCGACAATCTAGTGGGTGCTACACCTGACGTTCATTGACTTGGAATCAAACCCAGGTCTCCAGAATGAAAAGTGAGAATTCCACCATGGAATCACTGCTGAGAACCTGTAACATTGGCAAAAAATGGTTCGCAAATATCATATGGCATTTATCCAAAGGCTAAAAATGTATGGGAAAGCTGAGGCAGCGTAAACTTGTAGGGCAGTCCTGGATGTGGCCTGCCACTTTTAGGGCACTTGTTCCCCTCCCCCTCACTCCCCCTTTTGCATTCCTCATACTATTATTTGCAGCCCTGCAAGAAAGAGACCACAGCTGACCAAATTCCATTATAATGCACATTTGTACCTTTACTCGCACTGCACTTTGGTTAAATTTAGAATTCAAGTGCACTTAAGTGGATAAAATAACGCAAGGCAAAATTTTTTTTTAATCAAGTGGTTTATTATTTTCTTTTTTTCTTGAACAGGGATTTAACTTACTTCAATGATCATTGAATTTTGCTACAGCAAATGCTACCAAATAATAGAGAAATAAGCAAAAAGGCTCTAACTTTGCCAGGTCTCCCTTCAGTGAGTCCTGGTCCCAGGGGCCTCCAGAAAACCTGTGGAGAGCCCAGGAAGGAAGAAGGAATGGAGGGAGGGGGGAGGGAGGCTGAGGGCTTGATGGGCAGGAAAGGAGCCATAGGAGAGTCTTTGGGAAGTACCAATTACCAAGAGACGCAGATTATATAAAGTTGAAATGAGTGAGAATTTATTCACAACATGTGCAGATCTATGGAAGTGATTATGCAAATACCTGGAAAGGGGACACTTAAAAATAGCAGTAAAATGAAGGCTCTGGTTTCCAGTATGCTGAACGCCAATCAGATTCTAGTTAAATGTGCATCCATCTGGCCCTCTGTTTCTTCACTTTATTCTTCCTCAAAGCACCAGCAATTGAAAAGAAGAGGGGGACAGATATCTTTTTCCTCAAAACTCAATGGTGGCAACAGAAGGTGACAAGCATCAGGCTATCTCGGCCCTGGCCCCTGGGTAATTATAATCTCTCTTTGGTACTTCGTTTTGGAGAGATTAGTATTAGCAGAACTTGAATTTTTTTTTAAATTGTTTTCTAGAGCGTCTTAATTGGTGAAGTAGTGGGTGAGCTTCCTTTTTGCCCTAATCAAGTATATTTCTGGTTTGGGAGACAGAGAAAGCAACCTCGTGGTTCCAGCGCTGCCTGACTTTGCACACTGTAAATACTGTCTTGTTGATGATCAGGCCTCCTTTACAGATAATACCACAGGGGCAATAAAGCAGGTGGCAGGGAAGGGACCTCTCTTACGTGAAGCTGTGACAGGCTTGAAATCACACAGGTCTGGAACTAGAGGTTATGAGCATTCCTCAGACTGCCATTGGCCAGTTGCCACCGTCCGCCCACCCCAGGGTGGTCTTGCCTCATGCAGCAATTGCTCAGATGGGCATCAAAATGTTCTAGTCTTTCCTCCTACTGTCCGCTTCTTCCTTCCCAGGGCAGGCTCCTTGCTGTAGCCATGAGGGCGGATCTTCAACTCCACATAGGGAATGGAGAACTCATGTCCTTTCCATGGCTCCCAGTTCACGCCCTGCAATTAAAAGGGGATGGGGGGAACCAACAAAAAACAAACTATCAGTCAACATCAAGAAGAGGCATTTGAGAAGTGGTAGATGGGTGACAGTCCCAGGAAATATTTCTTTGCCTGTGAAATTACTTCCTCTCTGCTAAAAAAAGAAAAATGGGTTCTAGCTCCTGGCAATGACTTTATGTGTGTTACCATGTGAGCATGACTGCACCATAGGGATTTCCGCTGTGGTTATTGTGCTTTGGTTTGTTTTATTTTGTTTTCAGAAATAGGTCACCAGGTCTCTTCTGAGATGGCTTTGGGGGATTTAAACCGCCAACCTTTCTATTAATGGTTCATGCTCATCTCTGCTTAAACTCAAAACTCATTGCCTTCAAATAAGAACAGATTTCAAAGAAAATTACAAAACATTACTACAAGAACTGACTCATAGCTGACCCTCCACTGAGTTTCTGGGCTGTAACTTGCACAGGAGGAGATAGTGGGAGTCAAATGTTAAACAAAATGGTTTATCAGGAACTGAAGGAGGCACAAATCAAGCTGGAATTTCTCTTGTAACAGATTACAAGGAGCAAGGTGGTGTTTCTCCTGAGACAGATCACAGGAGATAGGCACTCCAGACAAACCAGGTGGCACCAGCTTCCTCCCAGCTTGTCTTCGTGAATTTGTCCTTCCTGATATAAGCAAAAGAACGTTCGCAGAGAAGAAATATAGCATCATTATTAAAAAAATATCCTGTGACTTTTCTCCTGGCAATTCTAAATAAAGGTCAGAGAGACTTTAGACTCAGCATGGCAGTCTTAGAGCTGTTTGCCCCCTGCCTTCACCCTCTTCTCATCCTGATTCTCGGTATCACTGTCCATTCATTCCGGTTGACAGCAAGATACTGCCCACCTTTCTCCTTCAGAGTTACTGGTGGATTCCAAACACCAGAAGCTCAGCCTTAGGTTTAGCAACACAACTCCCTGTGGACTTACACCACCAGAATGAAGAGGTGAGCAAAAGAGGCAAATAGTGGAAGGGGGAGAACTCAGAGGCTGTAAATCTCAGTAAGAGGAGATTATATGTTTTCTTTGGAGTAGCAGCAAAACTCCCCACCCATTAGGCCGCCAGGACACCCTGAAAGGGGAAGAGGAGGTTGCCAAAGCCACATGTAGATTTCTTCCAGTCAACTAGCTAAGCACCTGTGTCTTAAAAATATCTTAGTGTGGCCTGGACTGCTCTCCTGTCAGGAACACTAGATTGCAGCCCCACCAACTGGAGCCCCCCCCCACATACCCCTCCACGTGGAGGCCCCTGGCCTGCCGCCTAGACCCCTGAACCCACTGCCTGGAGGACTCAGCCCTGCTGCCTGGATGCCCCTACCCATCACCTGGATGCCCCTACCCATCACCTGGATACCCTGGCCTGGATGCTTGAAGGACCTAGTCCTGCCAGCTGGATGCCCTGGCCCCACAGCCTAGAGAATGACCTTTTGCCCTCCCCTCTGAATTGTGCCAGGGATACCAATATAACAGGTGAAGCTATTTCCTCGCCCCCTCTCAGAGCTTAAGCTCCTTTAGCCCTGGACTTTTAGACTTGCTTAGATGCAGCAACTGCCTGACAGAGAAGGCTGCTACCCCAACTGAAGCAAGTCTTCCTTGAGTCAAAATATTAGAGAGAAACTCAGGCAGGATAGCTGTCCAGCTCTCCTCTGGAGGAGTGATTTCCTGAGCCAAACCTAGCAGAAGAGCCTGCTAAGACCTCAAGCACAAAAAAACTCTACCACAGCAATGACACAGAAGAAGCAGACTACCTCATACCCCACACAAACTCAAAACAAGATGTCACCCCAAAAAAGTATCAGTGGATTTCCTGAAGCCAGAAAGTCTGGTGTAACTTTATGACACAGACTTTAAAAGAAAAATTATTTTATATTTTCAATGGGTGAAAGACAAACTTCAAGAATTCTAGGACTCTGCAAACAAAAACCAAGAGGAACTTAAAAAAAAAATCTAAGACAATGAAGTTACAACAAATGCAGCTTTAGAGGCTCTGGAAAATTAAGAAACTACAATCCAGAATATGAGGATCAATGCTTCAGATACTGTCAACATGTTGGAGGAACAGCTGAACAGAGCTAAAGAGATGGAACACAGAACCAGTGAAATAGAAGATAGACTTGTCACCACTGATTTGCTAGAACAAAAAGCAGAATCAAAAAGGAAGGGGGGGAAAGAAAGCCTAAGAATAATGTGAGACACCATCAAGAGGAATGATATGTGTATATTGGAATTCCAGAACAGGTAGAAGCAGGTAAAGTCACCAAGAAATTTGTGGAAGAATTACTAGAAGAAAACTTAACAGGCATAATGAAGAATGAGAGAATATATATTCAAGAAGAAGAGCAAACACCACATAAAATAGACCTCAAAAGAAAAATACCAAGGCATATCATAGTCAAATTTACCAGAACCAAAGATAAGGAGAGAATTCTGAAAGCAGCAAGGGAGAAACAAAGAGTAACCTCTAAGGGAGAGCATATAAGACTAAGTTCCAATTTCTCAGCAGAAACCATATGAGCAAGAAGACAGTGGAATGAAATATATGCAACACTCAGAGACCACAACTGTTAACCAAGAATACTGTACCCACCAAAAGTGTCCATCATATGTGAAGGAGAAATCAAAATATTCTCAGAAAAGCAGAACCTAAGGGAGTTTGTAAAAATAATACCAGGTTTGCAGGACAAACTGAGAGAAGTCCCTTTTATAGGGATGTCACAGAAAGCAGAATGGACCAAAGCAACCAGTAACAACATCAAAAAGAACTAAACAAAATCATAGCAATAAAACCTTGCCTCTCAATAATTACACTAAATATAAGTGGTTTAGATGCTCCACTGAAAAGGAAAATAGTGGCAGATTGGATTAAAAAATCCAAGCCCATCAATATGCTGTTTACAACATACTCACCTGAAAAGTGAAGATAAAGAAAGATTAAAAGGGTGGAAAAAAAATAAATCAAGCAAATGGCAGCCAGAAAAAAGCAGGAGTAGTGACATTAATCTCTGATAAAATAGATTTCAACACAAAGGACAAGAAAAGTCACTAGTTAATGCTTAAAAGGTCAAAAGAACAAGAGGAAATAACCATAATAAATACCTATGTACTAAATTATAAAGCTGAAAAATATACAAAGTAAACATTAACAGAACTGAAAAAAAAAGAAATAGACAAACCACAATAATTGTAGACTTCAATACACCACTCTAAAGAAAAGACAGAACCACCAAAAAGAAACTCAACAAAGATGGTGAAGAATTAAACCACACAATAAACCAACTTGATCTCATAGATATATAAAGGCTAATACACCCCAACAAAATGCAGTATACTTTCTTCTCCAATGTGCGTGCAACATTCTCCAGAATAGATAAAATTTTAGGTCAAAAGACAAACATCAATAAATTAAAAAGCATAGAAATAATACAAAGCATCTTCTCAGACCACAATGCTACAAAATTAGAATTAATAAAAAGAGGATAAAGGAGAAAAAAACCCATACATTTGGAAACTGAACAATACTCTGCTTGAACATGAATGAGTACTAGAAGAAATAAAAAAATGAAATTAGAAAGTTTCTTGAAACAAATGACAATGGAAACACAACATACCAAAACCTCTGGGAAATAGCCAAAGCAGTAATTAGAGGTCAATCTACAGCAATAAGCAAACACATCAAAAGGCAAGAATAAAATGATAATTGACTCTCTAACATCTCCAACAAATTGAAAAAGAACAGCAAGAAAACCCAATACTCTCTAAAAAACCTGAAATTATAAAAATTAGGGCAGAAATAAATGCAATAGAAAACAGAAAAACAATTGAAACAATCAACAAAACCAGGAGTTGGTTCTTCAAAAAGATCAATAAAATCAACAAATCACTAGCAAAATTAACAAAGGAAAAGAAAGAAAAGGCACAAATAATTTGAATAAGAGATGAAAGAGCCAATGTCACAACACAACTAACTGAAATTAAAAGGTTAACAATGGAATATTAAGGAAAAACTATACTCAAACAAGTATGAAAACCTAGAGGAAATGGACAAATACTTAGAAACTCACAACCTACCTAAACTGACACAGACCAAAATAGAAAACCTGAAACAACCCATTACAAAAGAAGAAATTGACTAGGTAATAAAACAACTTACACACAATACACACAAAAATATCCCTGGACCAGATGGTTTTACAAGTGAATTTTATCAAACATTCAGAGAACCAATTTTACATAAGGTATTTCAGAAAACAGAAAAAGATGGAATTTTCCCAGGCTCATTCTGTGAAGCAAACATATCCATGATACCAAAGTCAGGTAAGGACACCACCAAAATAGAAAAGTATAGATAGACCAGTATCTCTCATGAATATAGATGCAAAAATCCTGAATAAAATTCCGGCCAATAGAATCCATCAGTACATCAGAAAAATAATCCACCATGACCAAGTTGGATTCATAAAGGTATGCAAGGATGGTTTAACATAAGAAAAATAATCAGTGTAATTCTTCACATTAATAAAGCAAAGAACAAGAACCATATCAACTGAGGCAGAAAAGGCCTTTGACAAACACCCTTTCCTGATTAAAACACTCAATAAAATAGAAATTGTGTTGTTGCTTTTGTTGATTGCCATTCAGCACGAAAGGCCTGAAGCCTTTCTATAACTATCATCATTTATCAAAGTTCATCGAATAGAGCAGAATCTCCTCAATATACTAAAAAATATATATGCAAAATCAAGAGTCACCATCATTCTCAATGGAAAGAGATTAAAAGCATTCTCTTTGACAACCATTGAGAACAGAAACCAGGCAAGGATGCCCATTATCACCTCTCCTATTTAACATTGTATTGTAAGTCTTACCGATAGCAATAAGACAAGAGAAGGAAATAAAAAGTATCCAAATTGGCAAAGAGGAGGTAAAATTGTTTCTATATGCTGATGATATGATAGTATACTTAGAAAACCCTAAAGACTCAGCAAGAAAACTACTGGCCATAGTCCATCAGTTAAGCAAAGTGACAAGATACAAGGTCAACATTCAAAAATCAATTGGATTTCTCTACAATGACAAAAGAGAATACAGAACTGGAGCTAAGAAAAATCAATACTCATCAAAATAGCTAATCACAAGATTAAATACTTAGGAGTAAATCTAACTAGAAACACAAGGGAGCTATTCAAAGAAAATTACAAAACATTACTACAATAAACAAAAAGAGACCTGGAGAAATAGAAGAACATATATGTTCTTGGATAGGAAGACTCAATATTGTGAAAATGACAATTCTACCAAAAGCAACCTACAAGTTCAATGTAATCCCAATACAAATACCAATTCTATTCTTCAATGAGATAGAAAAGGCAATCTCCAATTTCATCTGGAATGGAAAGAGATCCCATATAAGCAAAGCACTCCAAAAAAGAGAAACAAGGTAGAGAGCATCACTCTCTGATCTCAAATCCTACTACACAGTCGCAGTGGTCAAGACAGACTGGTACCAGCATAATGACAGACACATAGTTTAACAGAATAGAATGAAGAACTCAGAAATCGGCTCCTCTATCTATGGTCAAATGGTTTTTGACAAGAGGATGAAATCAGTTAAGTTGGGAAACAACTTCTTTAACAAATGGTGTTGACAAAATTGGAAAACTATCTGTAGAAAATTCAAGTAAGACCCACACCTCACACCATACACAAAAACCAACTCAATGTGGATCAAGAACCTAGGAGTAAAACCAAGGACAATCAACTTCATCAGAAAAAAGCTTGGAAGAACTCTAGAAGCCCTAATCCACAACATGAACAGTCTTCCAAGCATCTTGAAAAACCTACAACCAGGAGAGAATACAATAGATAAACGGGACCTTCTAAGAATCAAATCCCTATACACATCAAAAAACTCCTCCAGGGTGAAAAAAGGAAAGCCACAGGCTGGGAAATAATATTTGGTAATGATATGTCTGATAAGGGACTTATATCTAGAATTTATAGAATACTCCAGCACCTCAACAAGATAAACAACCCAATTGCAAAATGAGTACAGGATATGAACAGATACTTCACCAAAGAAGATATTCAGATGGTGAACAAACACATGAAATGTTCAAAATCTCTAGCTCTAAGAGATGCAAATCAAAACAACTATGAGAGATCATCTCACCCCAGAAACAATAGCAAAGTTCAACAGAGCAGCAAACAACAAATGCTGGTAAGGCTGTGGATAAACTGGAACCCTTATTCACTGTTCATGGGAGTGTAAAATGGTGCAACCACTATGGAAGGCAGTATGACACTATTTCAAAAAGTTGGAAATAAAAATACCATTTGATCCAGAAATTCCACTACAGGGAATATACCCTAAAGAAACCAGAACTGCCATTCAAACACATATATGCTCACCTATGTTTATTGTGGCATTGTTCACAATAACAAAGAAAGGGAAACAACCCAAGTGCCCATCAACAAATGAGTAGATAGAGAAGCTGTGGTATACAATGGAATAATATGCAGCATTGAAAAACAAGGAACCCATAAACTATTATACAAAATGGGACAGTATGCTGAGTACAATATCTCAGTCACAAAAGGACAAATACTGCACAATGCCACTGTTATAAAACAGAACTGACATTAAGGGTTAGGGGGAAATTAAGAAAAGGGGGAAAATAATGAACACTGCATTGGAACAGATTAGGGAGGGAATTGTTTAGAAGGAATGTATGATTGGGCATTGTTTGCATGACAGTGGTCCAGAATAAGAGATGCATAACAAAGTGGACTGGAATAGGGGGAGGGAGAAATAAATAAGATAAAAGGAGGGGGAGGGGAGTGTCTAATAAAGGGCATGAAAATGCGCCCTCTGCTGGGTATCTGGAGCTAGACAAACAAATGATTTGGAAGACAACTGGCCTCCATGCTCCTTAGTGGGATGAAGGTATGAGCCTAGGAAATGGGGAGACCAGAGGGGAGGCAAAGAGAACGTGGGTGAACCTGGCCAGCAGTAATCAAATTATCTTTGCTTCCATCTCTCCCCCCCCAAGTATATATACAAATGAAAGGCAAAAATAAACATATTAATTGGCCAATTGTGTAAAATAATTTTCAATTTATATTGTTTAGATCTTAGCTCTGGGGATAACAAATAGCCTGCTGCAAACTAAATTTCATTTTATGTCTTTTGACTGGTGAGTGCAATAATATTTAATTCACTTAATAACCTTGCAACCTGGCCAATAAAGAGCCCAAGTGACCAATTTTATGTATTTTAATTTGTGAGGTAAATAATAAACAAGAAGCTAAATGCCTCACAGACTGTAGAAAGCACATTAACCAGATGAATGTCTTTTATTAGCAAATATCGGGAAAGTTTAGGGCGTGCTGGCTGCTCATTTCAAATATTTGATCTCCGCTCACAGGCTTCCCTGCGCCAGCCCACACGCTGCCACCGTGATTCATGGCAGGCCCTCCTCGGCTTCCCTGGGGGAAAATTTCTTCTCTTTGGAAAAATCAAGTAAAGATTGGGTACCCTGGCAGCCTGGCCAGGGCCAAACTAATCAATATGAGACTGTACTTTAGATGTGCTTATGTTTACAGTAATGGTGATTCGTGTGCGTTCTATGGGAAGGTGGCTTCCTGGGAGCCAGAATGGAAAATTAGACACTCAGTATGGGGTCTCTGGAGCCTCATGGAAAAGGGAAGATTAAGGATGTGAAGGAAACTGCAAGGGAGCAGGCAGGAGATTCCCAGTACCTGGCAGGAAGTTCAGATGAGGTATGCTAGTCAATCTCCCTAAAAAACCCACTGCCCTTCCATCCATGGCAGCTCAGCTCACAGAGTCCTCCACAGGCTTCCAAAGTGGCAAACCTTTACAGGAGGAGACCATCCATCTTTCAGTGAAGCAGCAACTGATAAATGTGAAATGCTCACCTTTCCATTAATAGCACGACATGTAACTCATAGCACCACCTCTCAACACAGGTCATAGAAGTTGAAAAAACTGCTGAGGAAAAAAGTTGCAGAGCAAGAGAAGGAAGTAGAGGGCCTATGGACTCCTAGCTCTGGGGTGTCCACTCCCCAAACAGAGAACTCAATGGAAGAGTGGTGTCAACCACACATTCAACTGCTCACCCAGAGACACCTTGGAAGAAAGTCCTGGAAATTACTATGAAAAACCTGTTCCGCTCTGACCCACAGAAGGTTGCCAGGACCTGGGGCTGACTCCAGGGAAACTAGCTTGGTTTTGGTTATGGTTGTTTTGGGTGAGGGTTGTTTATTTGTTTTGTTTTGTTTTGTTTTGTTTTCTGCGTAGACATTAGGTGATCTGGACCCAAGTGTGGCAGTGATCTGAGGCAGAAAGGATTTTGGTGTGCCTGTAATGAAAGGCTTGAGAAAACAGCTCTGGGGAAATTAGAACAGCTAGAAAGGGTTATGAAGTGTCCATATGTGAATGGGTAAAGTGAGGCGATGGTGACCCACTTCATCTGCCTTCATACAGCAGTGGACAGCCTGAGCTCTGCCACTCAACCAATGTGGAACAATGGTGGGGATGCAGAAGGGTCGTGACCGATGGACAAAGAAGGCCATGACCACAGGGCCATGGAACCTGAAGGAGAAGCTCCGCTGCCCAGATCAGAAGGAAGAGCAGGCACAGTAATCTGAAAGGTGTCTCTTTGGCAGCTGGCTGTGTGCAGAACATGGGACAAAAGAGATATTCCCTTGCCACCTACCTCACTGTGCTTGGTCTCGCCATATCTGCCATTGGGGTTGGCCAGGTGGCAATTCTTATACCACCAGCCACCATGATGTGTTAAGGCACAGTTGCTGAGAGCAATATCATTGTCTCTATCGAAAGTTGTAAACTTCCATCCGTTGTGGTAAGTCAGAGCATCCCCTGTCAAAGGGAAAAGATGGGAATCAATTATTTAAGTTTAAACATTGCAGGGGATGGAGCGGAAGAGGGTACACACTGGCCCAAAAGAGGATGTGGCTGAAATGGCAAGAATCCAATCAGTTACACCACACACAGATGTCCATGGTATGTCCACGCATACACATGTGCACACACATACATACACACTTGAACCTCTGGAATCCACCCTTCAGTGAACATAAATAATTCAATACTTGGTTACACCCTACCTAGATATCCAATCAAGTTATTTCAATTGTCTTTGCCCTTACTTTCCTATCATCTTTGCCATTCTTTTATTGATGCTGCTGTTCTTCATTGCCGTCGAGTCAAAAATGATTCCTAGTTGACCCTTTAGTGGGTTTTCAGAGGATATAATCACACAAAAGGAGACTGCATATATTTCTCTTACAGAGCAACTGGTGGATTTGAACCACTTGCCTTTGGGTCAGTAGTGCAACTCTTTAGCAATGAGTAAACTGTGGCTGACTCTGAGAGGAATAGGAATCCCAGAACATTTGTTCATACTTATGTGAAACCTATACTTGGAACAGGAGGCAGCTGTCAGAGTAGAGCAAGGAAACACTGCATGGTTCAAAATTGGGAAGGGTGTGTGCCAGGGATATAAACTATCTCCATACCTTTTCAATCTATATGCGGAACAGATTATCTGGGAGGCTGGGCTCTATGAGGAGAAATGTGGCATCAGGATTGGAGAAAGATTTATCAACAATCTGCATTATGCAGATGACACAACCCTGCTAGCTGAAAATGAGGAGGACCTGTAGCACTTGCTGCTGAGGGTCAAGGACTGCAGCCTTCAATATGGATTGAAGCTCAACATCAAGAAAACAAAAATTCTTACCACTGGGCCAATTGGTAGCATTATGATAGATGGTGAAGAGATTGAGATTGTTGACAGCTTCAGTTTGCTTGGCTCTAAAATCAACACTCTTAGTACCAGCAGCCAGGAAATTAAAAGATTAATTGTATTGGGAAAATCTGCTGTCAGAGACCTCTCCAAAGAACTGAAGAGCAACAGTGTCAGTCTGGAGACTAAGGTGCACCTGATACAGGCCATGGTCTTTACCGTTACTTGCTATGCATCAGAGAGTTAGACAATGACTAGGGAAGATAGAAGGAGAACTGATGCCTTTGAGCTGTGGTGTTGGAGAAGAGTATTGAATGTACCATGGATTGCTAGAAGAACAAACAAGTTCATCCTTGAGAGGGTGAAACCAGGCTGCTCCTTGGAGGCAGGGATTCTGAAGCTTTGTCTGACATACTTTGGACATGTTGTAAGGAGGGACCAGTCCTTGGAGAGGGACGTCATGCTTGGGAGGGTGGATGGACAGCTCAGGAGAGGAAGACCCTCGATGAGATGGATTGATTCAGTCACTGGAGTAAAGGGATATAGGCATGTCAGAGACAATAAGATTGGCACAGGATAGAGCATGGTTTAGGTCAGTTGTACATAGAGTTGCTAAGAGTTGCAGGCGACTCGATGGCACATAACAACAATAAGTCACCAGAGCTCCCTTATTCTTTTATGTTGTTGACGTGTGTTGTCGAATCAGAACCAACTCAGAACTGACCTTCCAGTGAGTTTTCAGAGTCAGTAAGTAAATAGTGGATTTGACCCACGTGCCTTTGAGACAGCAGCACAGCTTCTTACTACTAGGCCCCCAGAGTTCCAACTCATAAATGTTAATAAGCTTGGTTAAGTTCTTTCCTTACAATAATTGAGATAATTTGCATTTTCCGATCATCTCCACGTATGTTTTGTCATTTCATCCTCAGAACAAATAAGTAGAGCAGCCCTAAGGTGGGTTGGACACCTCTCGGTCCCATAAAGAAATCAGACACACAGACGTTAGACAAAAGGTTCCTCAAAGGACCACTGCACACAAGGAGCAGAACCGGAACTCAGACCTTGTCCCTCACATTTCAAGTCCAGTGTTCTCTCTGAGACATCTCACCCTGTTGCCACACAACTTCAGTGATGCTCTCCAGAGCCAGCCCTCAGACGTAGTCTGCAACAGTTCTTTTTGTGTGTGGTCCTGTCCAGCAATGTCCACGTCACCTGGGAACTTGCTAGAATGCCAGCTCTTAGGCACCATCCGAGACTTGGAGACCCAGGGTCTGGGTCTCAGATAGGGAGTTTAACAAGCTCCACAGGTGACTCTGATGCACGAGAGATGGATAAACTCTGCCCTCCATTTATTTACCTATTAAAGAAATATTTACCACATATCTGCTAGCACTATCAGCTGTTGTTGTTACGTGCCATCGAGTCGTTTGCGACTCATAGCAACCCTATGTACAACAGCCCTAAA